GTGTCTGGTCAGATCCTGTGCCCATTTTTTAACTGGGCTATTTATCTTTATCTTCTTGTGGTGCTCAAGTATTTTCTAAATTCTAGATAAAAGTCCTTTATCATTACCAAACATTTTTTCCCAGTCTGTGGCTTCCCTTTTTACCCTGTTGGAGAAGTTTTTGGATGTGTATAGGAATTTGATTCTTATAAGGTTCCGTTCATCTATTTTATCCTCGCCTGGTTGTCCTAACAGCAGATTGACCTAGTGCAATTCACCTTTTGATTTCCTGAATAATTCCTGTAGTGGAACAGCACACACCCCACTTCTTCCTGTTTCTCCTTTTCTTACGTGCCATTTTCCTACTCCTGCCTGTCTTCTGAGCTTTACCCCTGGGCAAATACTGCCCTTTTGCTCTGGTTGATTGTTCTAGGAAATGCATACCTCCAGGATATTGTTCCGTTTCTAAGCCTGTGGATGGATTAATGAGCCGCGTCATACGTGACAGAGTGGAACTGGGCTCCATGGAGTTTAAATGGCTGGTTTTTCTGAAGTAGTTTGCCAGGTCTTCCTTTTGAGATCCTTTTGGTTAACAGACCAACACATTATCTATTTGTCTCACTCAGAAACTATCAGAAACTACTAGCAGCTTTATGCTCTTGGTAAGTGCCGCTGAGACAACTCTGATTCCTAGTGAACAATCCGAGCCCTGCCAGTCCTGTGCCCGCCTCACCATCTCTGACCTACTCCTCTCTCTCACTGACCCCTCCATTTTTTTAAGCATTAGGGAGGATAGAAGGAGAATTGACGCCTTTGAGCTGTGGTGCTGGAGAAGAGTACTGAATGTACCATGGACTGCCAAGAAAACAGATTCATCCTGGAGAGGGTTAAACCAGGTTGCTCCTTGGAGGCAAGGATTCTGAGGCTTTGCCTGACATACTTTGGACATGTTGCAAGGAGAGACAGGTCTTTAGAGAGGGACATCATGCTGGGCAGAGTGGAGGGACAGCGCAGGAGGGGAAGACTCTCTATGAGGTGGATTGATTCAGTGACTGGGGTAATCGGGATGGGTGTGTCAGAGGCAATGAGATTGGCACAGGATAGAGCAGGGTTTAGGGCTGTTGTACACAGGGTCGCTATGAGTCGCAAACAACTCGATGGCACATAACAACAACAACAATCCCTTTCCAAGGATTGACCCCTCCTGACAATACTGCCCCCCAAATATCTTTGCCTTCTTTTGACATTCCATGGGATGTTCAGTGCTCTTCCTCAACACCACAGCTCAAAGGCATCAATTCTCCTGTCATCCTTAGTCACTGTCCAGCTCTCAGATGCATCATAAGTGGTTGAGAAGGCCGTGCCTTAAACAAGGTGCACCTTAGTTTTTACACTGATATCGTTCCCCCTTAACACCTTTGAGAGAAACTTGACAAGAGATTTTTTTTCCAATTCCCATGTCCTTTGATTTCTTGACTGCTGGCACCAAGGGTGCCGACTGGGGGGACTCAAGAAGACCATTAACAACTTCAATATCTCTATGTACCATGACGTTGCTTCTTGTCCCAGTGGCAAGGATTTTTGTCTTCTTGATGTTGAGATGTAATCCATAGTGAAGCCTGTAGTCTTTGATCTTCTACAGCAAACATTTCTTTTCACAGTTGTCAATGGGTGACACTGGTTTTCTGCTCGCTTCTGAGTCACTTATTTCGAATGCCCTTGATGTCCACACAGTTTTGTCAGTGTAGAACAGGCCAGAGGGTATTCGTCCCTTCTTCATTTACACAGACTAGTGTGTTGAGCGGCGGCTTTGGGAGGCTGGAACACATTCGGAGGTGCCTGGCGGGGAGAGGCCAGAGTTGGTGCGTGACCCTGAAGGGCAGCTTCGGAGAAGGGGCACCCAGAGCTGGACCCCTCCCTTGCTCAGCACAGAAGGCCGCACTTCCTCCAGTGGCAGCCAGAGGGCGCGCGAGGCCAGGGTCTGGGCCACAGCCCGCGGGCGCACAGACCCCTCTGCCTCTGGTTGTGTGTGACATTAGGCTAGGCGACCCCCCAGCCTTCTGCCCTTGTAGGGTAGATTAAGCACTGGTCTGCTGACCTGAAGGTCGGCAGTTCGACTCTACCAGCCACTCTGATGGAGAGGGTAACATAACAGTCTGCTCCCAAGCTTTGGAAACCCTGCACCACGAGACAATTCTGCCCTGTCCTATGACATCGCTCAAGGTCTGAATTTATTCACTGGGTTTGTTGTTTTGTTATGTGCCATCAGTCACTTGCGACTCTATGTACAAAAGCCCCAAACGCTGCTCTATCCTGTGCTAACCTCTCTGTCTCCGACACACTCCCATCACAGAATCGATCCATCTCATTGAGGATCTTCCTCTCCTTCGCTGCCCCTCCACTCTCCCAAACATGATGTCCCTCTCTGAGGGACATGATGCCTCTTCTTGCAACATGCCCAAAGTATGTCAGATGAAGCTTCAGAATCCTTGACTCCAAGGAACATTACGGCTTCACCCTCTCCAGGACAAACCTGTTTGTTCTCCTAGCAGTCCATGGTATAGTCAACACTCTTCTCCAGCACCACAGCTCAAAGGCATCAATTCTCTTTCTATCATCCCTAATAACTGTCCTACTCTCCAATGTATAGCCTGCAATTGCGAAGATTATAGCTGGATCAGGTGCACCTTAGTCTCCGGCCTGACGTCATTGCTCTTCAGTACTCTTGAGAGGTCCCTCACAGCTGACTTTTCCAACGCAATTCATCTCTTGATTTTCTGGCTGCTGTTACTAAGAGTCCTTCTGTACTAGTCAGATCCAATTTGAAGGTATACAAAGACACTGGGTTTAGACCAGGATTTATACCACCACGTTCCCTCCCTACTCTATACCCAGACTCACCTTCCTTGGCATGTTTTCAGCCCTCTGACCTTCTCACTCACTGGCGGCCCAGTGGGAACTGACCCACAGCTGACTCTCCAGCTGGTTTTCAGGGGCTATAAATTGCACAGTAAGCGATTATCCATCTTTGTCCCACGAAGCCCCTGGTGAATCCAAACCACATGCTTTTGTGTGGGCAGCCCACCTCCCTATGGAATAGACAGCCAACACTCACTGTCTTCCTCAGTGCCCTTCCCAACTCACTCTTGTCCCCCCATTCCCTGCCTTCCCCTGACCACATCTTCCCAGCCCTCTCCTGCCCTTCTCAGCTTCCCCCCCAAACTCCTCATTTGCTTGCCCTCTTTTTTCACCCCCGCCCCCTTTGAGGCCCTCTGTCGCTGGCTCTGAGGCTCCTTCTTCCACATGCACTTTGTTTTAGAGAAAGCTGCAGAAGGCCACGCTCCTGACTGGTGAAGGTGTGGTGGGCACAGATGACCGTCTCATGATTCGACCTGGGAACTTGAGCGTCTGAAACACGTGGCTTGTCCACACCTCCAACTCACGGGAGCCCCGTGTGTGTAAAGCAGAACTGCAGAAACTCCAGAGAGTTTCCCTTTGGGAAGTGGGTTGCCAGTCCTTTCTTCCTGGTGCCTTTGGATGGGTGCAAGCCGCCAACTCTCTGGCTAGTAGACAAGCCCTTAACCTTTTTGTGCCATCCAGGCATCCCTTTGTCAAAAAAGAAATCAATCCATTAAAGTGTGTGAGCTGTTTCCTCTCTCGGCATGGAGCCTGGCTCACTCATAGCAGCTACAGAAAACCTTTACTCTGTAAGACCTGGACACACACAGCCCAGGCCCCAGCCCAGAGCTGGACAGGGCAGTGCTGGGCTGCACCATGTGGCTCCTGTACTTGAGGGGGTAGGGCCAAAGGGGTGAGAACCTGTTCTGGGGGCCCCTCAATATCCCATGCACTTTTTTTTTTGCCCCTAAATATCAGCTCGACCTCTATCATCGCTAAGAAGAGCCCAGAGCTGACGACACATGGCCTTGAGAACATTGCTTTACAGTTAGTGCTGAGCAGGGATACGGACAGGTTCACTGTCTTTGAGTCTGTCCTCAAAGTCTCACGGTGTGTGGGGGGGCACTCACAGGTTCCCTTCTTTGTGTCTCTCTTGGGGTTTCAAAGCCCAGCCTTGGACCTGCTTCCCTTTGGCCTGGGCTTCTCCTACCGCATGGAGAATGATGGGTCAACGTGTGGGCTGAGGTTTGGGGGGCCATTGCACGTAGCTAGACTCTTGCTTCATTAGTCCTTTTTGTTTTTCATTTGGATCACACTTTTATTCTCATTTTGAGACTTGAGTGCTAAAAAATAACCCCACAAAACCCCATCTAAATCAAAGTAAGAGAACTTACACACACACACACACACACACACACACACACACACACCCCATGGGCCCTTTTTCTAAATAATGTATTTCTGTTGTTGAGGCTGTTACACAGCAGCACAGACATCAATTCAACGGCTTCTCCAGGACAATTGACAGTTCTGGCTCCTTTCTTCACATTGAACTCTCATTCTCACTCTTCTTCTCTGAGCTCTTCTTCCCCCATTGACTTAAATTCCCTTCTCAGCCCTGAGTTTGTCTAATCTTTCCAGCTGCTGTTGTCACTCTGAGTCATGGGCTTCCTTTTTCATTCATTTCCTGTCATATTGTGGAGCACCTACTTGGTGCCAGACCCTGGGGTCGAAGTAACCGTAAACAGGACACCCTGCTAGAGGCTCAGTACTAGCGGGAGGCATCCACCATAGACTGGTCAGTGCACAGCACCACAGCACCAATTCCTGGTGGCTTCTGGGGCTGACACGTCCTGTCTTTTCTCCACCCCCAGGGTGGCCTGTTTGCAGGGTGCTGAGTCACCAGGGACAGTGTGGGACCCCCTGCTTTACTTGCCAGCATCCAATTGTGATGTGACAAAGGCTAGTGACTGAGGCAGAGCAGCCTGGACAGAGAGGGGCAGAGCAGGTCAGCTTCAGTGTCCTCCTCCCTGGACCCCTGACATCTTGGGAAGCAGTGGCCCTGCTCCCTAAGAAGATGCTGACTTAACCGTTTCCCCCGGGGGCATCCCTGTCTCACCAGCATGGGTGAAGCACACACTTCTTATTCTTCCCTGAAGAAGCTGCTATTATTTCTCAATGGCTCTGTGGTTGTAAGTATGTCACAACCACAGTCCCCTTCCTCCACCACCGGTTCCCTCAAAGACAGAAATAAGTTGATCCAAATTCACTGGCCTCCCAACTCTGGGGTCCCCAGGGCGTCAGGAAGGATGTAGGGCAGACTGAGGAGGGGGGTGCTGGAAGCCGGAGGCTGGGGCTGCTGCCAGCAGCTGGGGCTGTACCAGCGGCTTGGGTTCAGACTCTTCCTGGGGCTTTCAGGCAGCTTGGGCTCTGCGGGCACAGCCTGGGTCCCCATCCACGCCCTGCACAAAGTCGGGGACTCGAGGGCTGGGGAGGAGGCATTCATTTTCCTGATCCCTTCAAGTTTTCAAAATGTTTTGAAATTTTCTTAACCACCAAAGGAACTTGAAAGCACATCCATTGTTAACGTAATTGTTTTCACTGTAGAACAGTGTAAAGAGAGGTTTCTAAGGAAAATGAGGAAATGAACTGTCACTCCTCATTCTGTCAGTGTGGGCCTGGTGGCTCGGTGAATAAAGCATCCCACGGCTCACTGAGAGGTCAGCAGTTTGAAGCCACTACTTGGCAGTCTTTGTTCCCAGCTAGTCTGGCCAGCGCACCCCTCTGGGACAATTCTACTCTGTGGACATTAGGAGTCAGATTCTACCTGGGGCCATCCTGCCCACTAGCTGTAACTTTCTAATGTGGACGTTAAATGTAGTTTGCACCTGTCATGTATTATTAGGACATTATATGTATAATCCTATTATATGATTCATTTTATTAATCACCTAATAAATGTTATCATAAACCCACAACCCCAAGTCCATTCTGACTCATAGCAGCCCTCTGCTGAGTTTCTGAGACTGTAAATCTTTACCGGCGGAGATTCCCATGGAGCAGTTGACAGGTTCGAACCACTAACCTTCAGATTAGCAGCCACTGCACCACCAGAGCCTCTTATATATAATCAACTCAGCTCAGCTCACTACCATCAAGTCAGTTCCAGCTCCTAGACCTCCGCCCTGTTTCTTTATGGGAGGAGACGGCTTCATTGCTCTCCTGCAAGGCGGCTGGTGGAGTCCAGCTGCTGACCTCAGTGAACTGTCCACAGAACTGTGCTGAGAGCGCGGCAGTCCTTGAGTATTAGACAGGGACCAGGATGTGACAGCCTCATCTGTTGTTTTATAAATTGAGGGTTATTGGGACACAACCACACTAATTTGTTACACAGGCTCAGTCTTTGCTGTCCAGGTACGGTGCCTGAGCTGAGTCATTTCAGTATGCAGCGGATAACCTTCAGAGTATTTGCTACCTGGAGTTTATCAGGGGAAACAAACCAACCTCTGCATCCTCATCCGACAGCATCATTTTAAGTAACTGCCTAGAATCCCATTGCTGGGTTTGGCATACATACCTACCCCATCTGCAGTCAGTGCTGCCTGCTTCAAGTATTTCTGATGTTTTGTTGTTAAACATACTGTTCTAACAAGGATCCGTGGACTTCCTGGCACTGGTGTGTACCCCTGATCATTCCCCTCAAGACCAATTTCTAGAAATAGACTTTCGGAGTGTAGGGTTTATTGGCAAACTCTTTAACATTTTCAATAACAATTCCCAAGTGCCCCCACTAGCAACATATGTGGTCATTCTTTCTCTACATCTTTGCCAGCTCCAAGTGTTGACATTTTTTAAGCGCTTGTGCTGATTTTCTTGGCTTTTGCTCCATCTACCTTCCCCTTCATGAGTTCTATTGCCCATAAGTAACTCACTAACAGACTGTTTCTCTTTCCTGATTTTTGGTTCTCAGGTGTCAGGAGTGCTCCTGATTGGCCTGAGTTCCTGCGTCAACAAAAATGTTGAATTGACGAGGGCCCTTGGCCTGTCGGCCACATACCTCCTTCACTTTGGCTGCCTGTGTTCGGTGATGGGATGCATCACAGTGCTGCTTGGCGTGGCTGGGTGGTACGGAGCCGCCAAAGAGAGCAGACGCGCTCTCTTGTTCGTAAGTCTGAGCTGCACACAGATCCTTTCATTGCACATATAGAATTACAAACACCTTGATCCACTTCCCTTATACCCAACTTTGTTTATGGTATCCCTGGTGTACTTCTCTCTTAATGGGGTATCTAGTTTAGAATTATCTCCCCTAATCAAAGTTATAAACATAAGAAAACCCTAGATTTCCCTCCCTCAGATAATTGAAAATTTTTCTTACTTTTAGCCTTTGAGAGTTGAATTGTGCATGTGGTGTGAGGTTGGACTCTGGCCCTCACCCTTTGGGCAGGATAGTGGCGTCTTCAGAGCTACTGTTCCTAGGCCACTGTGAGCTGTGGTCAGCTCAAAGACCTGTATCAGGTGTGTGATACGTGGTCCTACGCACAGATTGTCCCATCGGGTCCCCCTGTCTGCACAAATCTCCATTTTGCTGGGGTCTGTTCTATGTGTGCCGCTCTGTTCCATCAGTGCATCTGTCTGTTCTTCACGGCGGCATAGTGGTAAGAAGCTGCCCTGTAATCTCAAAGGCACATGGGTCGAATCCACCAGCTGCTCGGCGGGAGAAGGATGGACACTCTCTTCCCAAGCTATTAACTGCCTCTGAAAACCCGCCAGAGGGTCAGCTCTGGGTCGGTTCTGATATGATGGTATGCAACAACAACAACAGTGCAAAATTAGGGAACAAACCACAAGATCATTCCTCCTCCCTGACACCTAGTCCAAGTGGAAGACTCCCCAAGCCACCTTCAGAGGAGGACTCACACAACACGCAACATAAAAGTACTTAAAAGCACAGCTTATTTGCTCATTGCTGCTGTGGAATTGATGGCAACTCCAGGACCCCACGTTCAACATGAGGAAACCCTGTCTGGGCCTGCGTCATCCCCACAGTCACTACTGTACTGGATCCCACTCGTCCAGCCTCTGCCTCGATCCATCTCATTGAAGGTCTTCCTCTTCCTCAATGACCCTCTGCTTGAAGCGTCCTTCTGGAGGGACTGGCTGTGTGATACTCACGGTCAAGACGTGTTAGAGAGAAAGACTACAGATTAAAATCAGCTACGTGAAGACACACACACGGACAAGAGTCCAGGAAAGTTCTACGTGGTGTTTCCAGCCGACCTCCCCCACCTGAGTCACCAACAGAGATAACTTTCCTAGGAACACGGATGAGTGTCACCACCCGGAAGTGTCACTCGATCCCTGGTGGCCTTGTTTTATGAGGGCTTGGTCATGTTAAGACTGATGAAACTGACCACAGTCATCAGTCCCTTGAAAGTTGAGGTGACACTGCATAACCCAAAGTGTCCGCCACAGATCACATCTGTGTTAAACCATCTGGGTGACCTCAAATCCCCAAATAAACAACCACACTCTTGTGAGTCGTGACATTTCATGGACGCCGCCGTGCAGGATATTAGAGCAGTGCTCAGATCTCTTTGGGTCAAGGTTTAGCCCTCGCCAACACCCTCCATAGAGCAGCAGGGTTAGATTCCACACTACGCAGGTGAAGTATAGAAGTTTCCAGCATGATCTTACAGCTAGTGTGTCATGGATTTTAACTGTCCTAGCTTGGAAGCAGGAGTGGCATCCACTTCTGGAATAGCTTGCCTCTGGAAACCCTATGATGTTGGAGAAACAAAGAAAGTTATACAAGTGTTCAGGTCTTTCGTTCATAGGGTTGTTATGAGTTGTCTATGATTCGACAGCACTTAACAACAACAACACACCTTCAGACCGTGGTCTTTCCAATCATTTGCATGCATCTGACAGCTGGATAATGAACAAGTATGACAGAAGAAGAAGAAGAAATTATGCCTTTGGACCATTATGTTGGAGAAGAGTATTGACTATTCCATGGACTGCTAAAAGAACAAACAGATCTGTGTTGGAGAAAGTGCAGCCAGAGTGCTTCTTGGAGGCAAGGATGATGAAGCTATGTCTCACATGCTCTGTTTGGGCATGTTGCTAGGGAAAGCTGTTCCTTAATGAAGGACATCATGCTTGCAAAGGTGGGGGGATGGCAAAAGAGAGGAAGATTCTCCACCAGATGGACTGACACAGTGACTGCAGCAACAGGCTTGAGTATGTCAGAGATGATGAGGATGGCACAGGATAGGGCAGTGTTGCTGTCTGTTCACCGGCAACTTGACAGCAACACCCCGATGGGAGTAAGTGTTGCAATCCACAACCCTTTTTCCTGGGAGAAATGAACATCAAGAGACAAACACACACATAAGACAAGACAGGACTGCAGCAAAGAAACACACACTCACAAACACAGGACAAGAACTTCATACCCCTAGGCCTGGCTCGTTTGTTATTTTATAATCATCCAAAAACAGTCTACGTGCAGGCACTGATGATTTGGGGGAAAACTTATTTATCAGAAACTAGACTTGTTTAGACTTGCTTAGCACAGAATATTCTCATGGAATCTTTCTTGCTTCCATATCTCTGTTTACCAGAAGATATAAGACTATGCCTTGGAAAGAGGAATATTCTTGGACCTCGTATGCAAGTGACCAAGGTCCCCATCTGTATGCAGATTCAAGGACACATTCCTCTCCCACTCCCCATTCAGATTGAGGAAGGCCAAAGAGACATCTGTGTGCAGACTGTTTCTTTATTAACCCTTTTTGGCTCCTTCAAGCAAGCACGACAGAAATACACCACTCCAATAGAGGATCAGAGAGTCAATCCAGCTCAATTTTAATGGGAGCTGCACTGCACTTATATACACAGGAAGGAAGGATAGGGTGGGATTACAGACATGGGGCATGTGGATTGGTTAGGAGAACCTCAGCCTCGTGTGGACAACTCCCAGTTCAACAGATGCAGCAGCCGTCTTCCCAGGTGGCGAGCTTTCTCAAGCCAATACAGCCAAACACAGGGGAGCTTTCTCTACCCCGTATTAAAGGCCATTGGGAGGCTTACACTTATCTGGAGCTTAGGCGATCTGTCCTGGCCAGAGGCCCTCCCTTCCTCCCCAACATTCTGCAACAGGGCAGGATTCAGATCTGTTGTTCATAGGGTCGCCATGGGTCATGCTCAACTCAACAGTACCAAACAACAACAATGCCTGTCAAAGGATAATGAAACTCTGACTCACACACCTTGGGCATTTTGCTAGGAGAGGTGAAACCTTGGAGACCTCATGCTTGGAAAGGTGGAGGGTCAACGGAAGAGAGGAAGGCCCTCAGTGAGATGAATCGACACTGTGACTGCAGCAAAGGGCTTGAGTGAGTCAGAGATCGTGATGATGGCACAGGATAGGACAGGGGCCAGATCTGTTGTTCAGATGGTCACTATGTGTGGTCCTCTACTCGACAGCACCTAACAACAACAGTGCTTGCCATCAAGAGAGACCAGTCCCGGGAGAAAGACATCATCCTGGGTGAAGTTGAGAGTCAGTGACAAGGAACTGGAGGCACAGAGTGGCTGTCATAATGCGCTGAACCCCGGGAAGGCCTGTGAAGAGAGTGTGGACAGCGGGGCTCGGTTCTGTGGTACGGAACTGACTCAGCGGCACCCAACAACACCAACACATCCTCACACGGTTGTGGCTACACAGTTCCCAGCCTCCTAGTCCCATCGAGCCTTCTTTCTTCTCCAGTAGGAAGGACCCCAGACTCTTATTTGCATAGTCCCCAGGCTTAACCGGGCTCTAGCATCTACTGTTTCCCCTTCTCCACTGCCTTGCTGTGAATCTCCATTTCTCTCTGGGACTCAGGTGGACTCATCGTCCAGAACACTGCAGATCCCAAATGTCAAACTCACACCTGGCGCACCCTCCCCTCCCTCCAAACTCCACCTGCTCCGTTCCTCTGCCTTCATTACTTTAAAATGTATCAATGCTGCCTACAACGCTTCCTATCACCAGAGATGGGACGTGGACACTATTCCATCCACATATTAACGTGGGGTGCTCACTCTGACCTCACCACGCCCAGTCCATCCGCAGATCCACAGGCTTTACCCTCAGCATCTCTCCCTCCGAGACCTCTAAGACCTCACTCAGAAAAACAAAGTCTGCACACCCATGTTTATTGCGGCTTTGTTCGCAATAGCAAAGGGCTGGAAACAACCCAAGTGCCCATCAGCAAATGAATGGACACAATGCAACACTATGCTGCATGGAAAAACAAGGAAATCATTAAATATTATGCAAAATGGATGACCCTGGAGGACATTATGCTGAGTGAAATATCTCAGTCATAAAAGGACAAATATTGCATAGGGCCACTGTAGTAAAACGGAACTGACATTAGGGTTGAGGGAAGACAGAAAAGGAGGGGAGGAATGATGTATATTGCATTGAAACAGATGAGGGAGAGAACTGTTTAAAAGGGACATATGATTGGGTATTCTTGTCATTACAGAAGTCCAGAGTGAAGGCTGCATAGTGGAGTGGACTTGGGAGGGAGGGATTGCATAACAATGCAATAGTTTTTCTTTCCTTTCAAGGAAAAAAGTGAATTGGGGGAGGAGGGGGTGGGGACTGGAAACCCTAAGTCTCTATAAACTTTCATTAACATTAATTTTTAAAAAAGTCCTTTTGAGGATGTTGGGGAGCCCTGGGGTGCTGGAGGCAGAGGCAAGGTGTGCCATGACTCACGTGCACACAGGTGTCCTCTAGCTGCTGTGAGGAGGACAGACTGTGGAGGGCCAGGGTGAGAGCCAGGGTGAGGGTGGAGGGGCTCATCCAATGGGGGATGACGGGCTGGACCAGGAAGATGGGGGTGGGGGTTGAATGGAGTGAGTGAATTCAAGATAAACCTGAGGTTGGACTGGTGGCAGCTGAGACGTGAGTCACTTGTCTGGGACTCCCCCAGTTGTCAAGTCCTGAATGGATATTTGCCCCTTGGGCTGTGAGGATTCCAGCTATGGAGGTTTCACATCATAAGGTGGGGTAAACTCAGCCCTCGGCCAGGCTGGTGACCAAGATCCTTTTAAAAGTGAAAGTCCAGATTATCAGACAGACTTTAACAATAATACAGAAGCTACACAGAGGACTCAACATCAAGAAAACAAGGATTCTCACCACTGGACCAATTGGCAGCATCAGTATGGATGGCGAAGAGATTGAGATTGTACACAGCTTTAGTTTGCTTGGCTCCACAGTCAACACTCTTCATACCAGCAGACAGAAAATCAAGAAATTAATTGCATTGGGAAAGTCAGCTGTGGGGGATCTCTCAAGCGTACTGAAGAGCAATGATGTCAGGCTGGAGACTAAGGTGCACCCGATCTTCGCAGTTACGTGCTATGCATTGGAGAGTTGGACAGTGACTAAGAATGACAGAAACATAATTGATGCCTTTGAGCTGTGGTGCTGAAGAAGAGTGTTGAATATACCATGAACTGTTAGGAGAACAAACAGGTTTGGCCTGGAGAGGGTGAAGCTGGGCTGCTCCTTGGAGTCAAGGATTCTGAAGCTTCATCTGACATACTTTGGGCATGTTGCAAGGAGGGACCAACCCTTGGAGAGGGACATCATGTTTGGGAGGGTGGAGGGATGGCACAGGAGAGGAAGACCCTCAATGAGATGGATTGATTCTGTGATTGGGGTGGTGGGAATGAGTTTATAGGAGACTTGGAGGTTGGCACAGGATAGAGCAGGGTTTAGGACTTTTGTACATAGGGACACTATGAGTCGCAAGCAACTTGACGGCACATAACAACAAAAACAACACAGAGCGTGCGTGAATGGAGGACAGGGAGCTGACCTGGCTTTGCCTGTGTGGTTCCAAGAGGTTTCAGAGTCCCTTGAGACCCCTTTAAGTGTCCGCTTTTGTTGTTACCCCTCCTCAGAAGCCTCCTACGTGCAAATGAACACACACTGCTGGTTTTGCACCATCCTAACTGCGTCACAGTTTGATTCCTTCCACCCTAAGGAGCTTGTCATTTGCAACACTGGCAGACAACATTTCACTGCTCTCCATGAGTTTTTCAGCTCTTTTTTCCCCCTTTGTATTGTTATTTGCATGAAAGTTTACAAATCAGTTCTCCATTCAGCAACTAATAGACATTATGACACTGACTAACATCCCCACATTGCTGCACCACTCTTCCCATTTCCTACCTGTGTTTCCCATGTCCACTCTTCCTTCTCTCCTCTCCCTTCCTGCCTTCTGAACTGTATTCCAGGGCAAATGCTGCCCTTCTGACTTTATAGGGTCACTCATTCTAAGGCTTGATTGTTTTCCTCCCTGGTGTTACTCATCATAGTCTACTACACCTGCCACTCGTTCAGGTGAACTTTGAGTTACACAGGTGATTTCAGTCCCAGGTTTGATGAGTAACTGAGGGCTGTGGTCTCAGGGTTCTACCAGCCTCTATCAGATCGGTGAGCCTGGCCTTTTGAATGCTTTTTCGTTTACATTTTCTTTTCTTTGATTGTGAGCCACTTTTCAGAGCTGTCTGTTGCAGTCGCTGGGTACCATCTAGGTCTTCCGATCTCAGGGACACAGGGTCCATCAGTCATTGTTTAATAATAATAGTCTTTGCTATTCTGCACTCGTCTTTGCTTTTCTTCGTTTTTCTTTGCTCCAGGTGGAGGAGATACCAGTACTTAGTTGCACCTTGGAATCCCTGGCTAATTATTTTTTTAGCAAATCGCCGACTTCTTCCTAGCTCCAGGGTGGGAGCTCTTCTGAAATGGCCCACCGTGGAGTGACTCTGCCAGTGTTTGAAACACTGGTAACACCACTTCCAAGTCAACTATACGCAGGCCACCAAAGTATGACAAACTGACAGACAAGTGGTAGGCCTCCATTGTACAGATGGAGAAACTTGGGCCTAGAGAAGGAAATGGCTTGGCAGGGGTGTGGAATGCAAGGTCTCCCCTCAGCTTGCCAGATTCCTCATGGTTTCTTTCAGGCCTACGGGATTTAACAGGCAAGTAAGGCAACGATGATGATCCCTGGTTCTCCGTCCCCTCACCATCACCTGTGTATCTGCCTTTCTTTTTTCTTTTTTGGGGTTTTTTTAAATCTCATTTTTTACATTTTTTATTATTATTAATTTCAATGAAAATTTACAGAGACTTTGGATTTTCATTCATTAATTGTTGCACTTTTCTCCCTGCCCACTCTTCCCCCTCAGTACACTCTTTAAAAAGTAAAAGAAAAATTATTTCATTGTTTTACAATTCCTACCCCCCAAGTCCTCCACTATGCAGCCTTCATTCTGGACTCCTGTCATGACAATAATACCTAATCACATATCCCTTTTAAACAGTTTTCTCCCTCATCTGTTTCAATGCAGTATACATTATTAATCCCATCTTTCTCAGTCTCCCCCCAACCCCAAGGTGAGTCCTGTTTTACAACAGTGGCACTATGCAGTATTTGTCCTTTTGTGGCTGAGATATTTCACTCAGCATAATGTCCTCCAGGGCCACCCATTTTGAATAATATTTCATGAGTTCCTTGTTTTTCAATGCAGTGTAGTATTCCATTGTGTGAATATACCATAGCTTCTCAATCCATTCATTTGCTGGTGGGCACTTAGGTTGTTTCCAACTCTTTGCTATTGTGAACAAAGCTGTGATAAACATGTGTGTGCATATATCTGCTTGGGTGGCAGTTATGGTCTCTTTGGGGTATATTCCCAGTAGTGAAATTGCTGGTTCAAATCTCTATTTGCAACTTTTTGAGAAAGCGCCACACTGCCTTCCACAGTGGTTGCACCATATTACACTCCATCAACAGTGAATAAGGGTTCCAGTTTCTCCACAACCTTGCCAGCATTTGTTGTTTGCTGTTCTGTTAAATTTTGCTATTATTACTGGGGTGAGATGATCTCTCACAGTTGTTTTGATTTTCATCTCTCTTAGAGCTAGGGATTTTGAACATTTCTTCATGTGCTTGTTGGTCATCTGAATGTCTTCTTTGGTGAAGTGTCTGTTCATATTCCTGTGCCCATTTTTCAACTGGGTTGTTTACCCTTATCTTGTTGTAGTGGGATCTGCCTTTCTTGTTGTCACTCCCAGCCTCCTCTCCCTCCCATGCTTCTCCTAGGGCCCCAAACCCCTGCACCCCACCTCTACCTCATCCTACAAGATCCCATGCAAGAAACACCCAGAAGGTGCTAAAATGGGATCCCCAGAACACTGCCCTGACCAGCTCCCCCCACTTCAGGAAATTAACACTTCAGAAGGAATAAAAAACCCAGCCCATGCAGCTTCCCAGGTATGATGTTTGTCCCTACTCTCAGGCAAGGGAACCCAAGGACAGCGCTGAGCCTGTATGGCCTGTGGTGGGGATGGAGGACAGCACTGAGCTGAGTGGCCTGTGGTGGGGACCGAGGACAGCACTGAGCTGAGTGGCCTGTGGTGGGGACTGAGGACAGCACTGAGCTGAGTGGCCTGTGGTGGGGAC